AAAACTATTTTATCATTCATTTTCCTCCCAAAATACGAATTTTTTGAATCATCTAAATCATTTTATCTCATTGAATTATTATTAGAAATCTATCCACAATACCAAAGAAGCAACAATGTTAATGTCCAACAAATAGAACAATAAAATATATAATCAAAGTTTTGAAGGCTATTAATAGTGTTATGTATCTATCATGTGTTACCTACCATTCTACAAGCATTGAAAATGCAAGCAACCGGCAATTTTTATTTTTTATTTTTATTATAAAAAATAAATAAATAAATAAATAAAAAGAAGTGTATTCGTGTGATAGTTATCTTTTTATTAATTTCTTTACAAACACAACTAAGATGCTACCATATGATTGTAGCTATTATGTCCCAGAATTCAGAAACACTTATATGGTTCTAGTATTCCAACAGAAAAGTACCGATCACTCAATAGAAAAAGGTTAGCCTATCCCAATATCGCACTCTAGTCCAAACCATTTTATCTTCAAAACAACTTATGAAAGAAATGGCTTTAAAACTTGTTCAACTGCCTTATTTTTCTCATGTTCCTCCCACACTAATAGATCTCCACAATAGTAAGTACTAGTTATATCATTTAGATTTTAAATTTCAAAGGTTTAACATCAATCCAGGAATCCGGTTACGAAATTGAGCTGATATTGAAATTTGAGATGAATAGGCTTTAAAAGAAATTCAAAAAATAGTGTATAATTAAAGCAAAAAGAAGCTTATCTTTGGTATCATTTTAATATAATTAATTTGTATAATTTTCCACACTTATAAATCAAGTCTTAGGTCATAACAAATTAAGAATAAAGAAATAAACAAAGATTTATATGTTGCTGTAGAAGCAAACAATCAATAGTTGTATTACTCTACACAGAACAATGTGCATGAATATATACTGGGAAATAGATAACACCACAAGTAGATCTATGTTTAGCTTTAACTAGGTAAGGCACATAGCAGGCCAAATAAGCAAGAAGGAAGACAAACATGAAAGTGCCAAATTATCAACTGCAAACAAAATCAATGAAGAAGAATGGCACCATTGCCTGTGAAATTTGTTGAAGACAAACCAACTGCTATGAAATGCCAATAATTTCATTCACAAATAGATGTATACATACGTACAAATAGATAGGCAGAAATCTATAAAATCAATGAAAAAACTATAAATATATTTCTTTTTCATACAATTATAATTATTTTCAATAACTACCATATCTATAAATTATATTTTCTTTGAATATGTTTTTCATTCACAAAATTTTATCACTGGGGTTATAGACAAACCTCACTATTACAAAGAAAACAATGCATACCATAAAAAATTTAACAAGGAGGAAATATTAAAAGACACAAGACCACGCATAACAACAATAAATATTAAAACCTAAAGCAAGAGAGCCAAATAAGACGGAAACAAGGAGGTGAAGAAGACAAGATATAGAGAGCAAGAAGTTTCATACCTTATAAAGTGGCAAATAACACCCTATAACTGAGATCTATCTTTGCTCCTCTCATGTAAATCTCCTCATGCTCTATAATTTTCATTTTCCAAGTGAGACAAATGAATCAAAGCAATGATAAAAAGAAAGCATGAAAATGGACATAAAAAGGTAAGTAAGCACCCTAAAAATTAGCAAATACAAAAAGAGTTTGCGCTATCAATGCAAAAATTAATAAGATCAACATTTACAAACACAAGCATGTCAAAGTGTTGTCCAAGAGTAGAGTGAAGCAAGAAAAAGCTAGGCATCTGCAATGGAGGGTGATGTTTGGGTCAAGGAGAAGAGGAGAAGGAAGGAGGTTCAGAGAGGTGAAGAGGTTCAGAGGCTCAGAGGAGAAGGAAGCAAAGGGGTTTAATTTTAGAGTGTTAACAAAATGTTCAGAGGCTGTCGATGTTCAGAGATGAAGCAAAGGAGGTTCGGTCATGGGTGGTCCTCGACGGCAATGGAGGAGTCTGTGTGTCCGGCAAGTATGGAGGTTGAGTGTTTCAAGTGTGTATCAGTGCATCAAGTGTGTATCAGGCGTGGGGCTCAAGAGTGTATCAAGAGTTTGAGTCAGGTGTGGGTGTTCCAAGAGTGAGTAGCTGTGGTTTAGGTGGGTTGTTTTAGCCTCTGTTTGGCAAGTTAGTTTTCAGGCTTTTTTGGCTATTTTAGCCACAAAAAACAAAATAGGCTATTTTAGCCATAACAAACAAAACATCACATCAAATCCATAATCATTACATTCTTCTCTCACAAAAAAAGTCAAAAAAACCAAAAAGCCAAAAAGCCCTTCCCAAACCAAGCTTTTTAGCCCAGGCTAAAATAGCCAAAAAAGCCAAAAAGCCAAAAAGCCAACCCACTTCCCAAACCAAGCCTTAGTGTGTAGCTGTGGTTTAGGGGGCTAAGTGTATGTTTTTTTTATTATTATTATTATTTAAAATCGTAAGGTTAAAGGGTTGGTTGTAAGAACGCAATTAACAGTAGTAGGAGTGTGAGTATTTACTCTTCAAATCTCTCTCAATACGGTTTTTTTTCTTTGTACCTGTAAATTTTATTTTTTTACTGAAATTTTTCTTTATCGATAAAAAAAAAAAAATGCAAGCTTTAATATTCTGATATGATCTTGAGCAGACTTTCAAAGGCTAGAACTTAGAAAATACCAATCACTAAGCCTGTGTTTGGCAAGGGCTTTTTTAGGCTTTTTTGGCTATTTTAGCCACAAAAAACAAAATAGGCTATTTTAGCCATAACAAACAAAACATCACATCCAACCTATAATCATTACATTCTTCTCTCACAAAAAAAGTCAAAAAAGCCAAAAAGCCAAAAAGCCAACCCACTTCCCAAACGGAGGCTTAAGGCTAAAATAGCCAAAAAAGCCAAAAAGCCAAAAAGCCAACCCACTTCCCAAACGGAGGCTTAAGGCTAAAATAGCCAAAAAAGCCAAAAAGCCAAAAAGCCAACCCACTTCCCAAACGGAGGCTTAATAAAATTTTTATATATAGAGACCGAATGCAATGCTTAGTAAAAGGAGGCAAATTTCATTTTGCTCTATTATAGTTTGACTCATGTGTAAACTAAATTCTTATGATTTGAAAATAATTACATTTTTTTTTTTTGTGGTAATTTGTGGTATAAAATGTATTGTCACATATTCCGTCAAAGTTAATAACAAATATAAAACATGTGTTAAGATATAAGGCTACCATATATTCATTTTCAAATGTTAGGAGATAAATTATTATGTAATTATTATTTAAATCAAAATCTTAAATAAAGTCAATATAATTATATAAAAAATATAAGATTAACTGTGTATTGTATTATTTGTTATATTTAAGTTTTATATTTTTATAATTTAAAAAAAAATATATTATTCTATAAAATTAAATAGAATAAATCATTAGATATATGATATATAAATTGTATTATAAATAATAGAAATTAGAAAAAAAATATAATAACTTTTACAATTTTGACATAATTATACTTTTTTCCTTTTTTAGTAAGCCTAAAATGACTGAAATTATTGCAGATTATGTGAAGACATAAATATAAACAAAATAAAATATACATGTTAGTATAAAATAGATAATAAAAAAATTATTTTACATCTATATGACTAACGAAATACCGATGAAAATTGAGTTAAGTGTTATGTAAATTAAAATTTTAGGATAGTCCAATATAATTATATCAAATTTATATAAGTTAATACATTTTTAAAACTCAAGTGTTTGTTCATGACCACCTGTGCTATTGTCTAAATACATATCAACTTCAAATAGTCACCAAACTAATTATTCAATAATTTTATATTTTATATAAGTGTCTTTTGGGTTACTTCATTTTGTTATTCAATACTTATTCAATGTGGTGAGTTTCATCAGTAGTGTTCAGTTCACTGAAATAAAAGTGAAATGGAATGATCTATTAAAATGTTAATTCTCACATATGATGAAAATGTATTGAAAATGGATTCTTATTCACTATTATAAGAAAATTGTCATTCTATTGGTAGACTATTGAATGATCATTCGACTTTCATTAATTGCAACTTATGATTTTGAAACTTATATATCACCCTTTGAAATTTTTAATTGTATAACAAATGACCTATTTCATTAATTAACTAATGAGGCCATAAATATATTTTAATCACTACTACAAATACAGATAAAGATCACACTTTTTTTGTGTGATGTATGTTTTTTAATCACGCCTTTTAAGTTTTATGAAAGTGTGGTCTTTGGGAGTGTGATTAAAAGAGGTCATTTTTAATCACACTTTTTAAGTGTCATTAAAAAATGCTTTCATCACATCTTTAAAGTGTGATTAAAAATATTTAGATCACATCTTTTAAGTGTGATTAAAAATATTTAGATCACAGTTTTTAAGTGTGATTAAAAATATTTAGATCACACCTTTTAAGTGTGATTAAAAACATTTATATTACACCTTTTAAGTGTGATTAAAAATATTTAGATCACACATTTTAAGTGTGATTAAAAACATTTATATCACAATTTTTAAGTGTGATTAAAAACATTTAGATCACATCTTTTAAGTGTGATTAATAACTAATAAAACCTGTAATAAAAAAAAATTCGGCATATTTGAAAAATAATCAATATTATTTTTATACGCACATTTCAAGAATGTAATACACACTATATATCATACTTTGAATCACAACCACATATAAATAGAATAACGTCATATATTTTATAAATGAAAATTAAATATCTTCAAAAGTATATACAAAAGAATTAAATAAAAAGTTTTAAACCATGCTTACATATATTAAAAAATGAAAAAACTTAAAAAACTAAGTTCTTGAATTCTTTGACCATATTTTGCATCTCTCCAAGAATTTCTAACCTGAAAAATGAAAACAAAAATTAATTCAGAAACCGCTAGAAACATATGAATAAACTAACTATTTGTAGAGATTGTTCTAGTCTTACAAAAGATAAAGTCCGACCGATCACACCCTTTCAAATGTCTTAAGACTTGGACAACAAGGTATCATTTCTTATATCGCTGACGGGAGGCAAAGATGAACTGAATGATGGAAAGTGGCCAGCAATCAATGAAGACAAGGTTTCCCCAGTCCTCCACAGGCAGCAATTTGCTGACAGCACATAGGGTTGTCATTTGTTAAGTTCATCAGAACTTGCCACAAGGAGCATAGTATAAGTGTTGACAATCATCACATGAATCACAACCACGTCAAACAGATTCTCAATAAAACACATTTTTAGCCACTCCATTGCAGATGCTCTCATCTTTTCTCCAACTTCTATATTTCAATATTCTATTTGACATAAGTAAAACCAATAATATAAAAAAAATTTGGAACTGATGGGCAACTTATTAATGTTGTAATTTATCAGAGATATTTTGTTACAGGAAGGATCACGCTCTCGTATTCATTTTCTATTTTTCTTCCTCGAATAAACAACACACAATCAAATCCTAAAATCAATCAAGTTTCAAAGCAAAGCACACACCCTTGGAAATCAATTCAGAACAAAGTGGCTTAATGACAGCTGTTAATGTCACCAACTACACGTAAAACGATAAAATTTGTATGCTATGTTGCCTGTTGTCTTTATGTTGAAGTTCACACTAGTCACTGTTTGTTTATCTATTGTTCTGAATCCTTTCTTTTGCATATAAAGTTTATGCTATTAGTGGTGGTGGTGGTTAAGTTTCTATTTTTTTATATACTCGTGTTACTCATTTTACTGTTGTTACTTATCAAAGAAAAATTACTCTAATAATTTTTTGCAATAATTAGGCACCTTGGTATTAACATGCCTTATTAACTCAAATTACTTAATACACTTTATGGGTGAATATCTAATTACACATGTTAGACACATACAGAAAACAAGACATTGTTATGCATAGAAAAGCAAGACCCACCGTACGCATGACATAAAGGTAAAATGGCAGGATGGCAATTCTTCCTGACTCATCTTTCTCAAACTTCATGAAGTTTGACGAACTGAAAATGCGTCGACATTTAGGGCCTATTTGTTCTGTACACAAATAGGCAATGTGGCAAAAGTCCTCATAATTCATCTGGACCTTTAGTGATGATGACTATCAATAGTCAACAAATGAGGAAAAGTGTAAATGATACCTTTAGAAAATGATATTTAGCCACCCTCTGGACCCTGTGACTGATGGACCCTTCTTCTGGTTTCTGAACAAAGGGGAAACAGAAAACAAAATAAGGGGGAGCTAAAGCAAGTACAAAATACAGGAAAAAAAATGAAAATGGTAAAAAACAATATCACATTAACGAAACCAACAAAACTATATGAAAATAAGGAACATTCTCCCTTTAGCATTTGCACTCAAGTTCTATCCAAGTAGATAACAAAATAAATGGACAAATTTTGTACTCAAGTTCTATCCAAGTAGATACCAAAGATATATAAGTATACCCTCGGACTTCAATATGGAGGGGAAGAGTTGCGTGACCTGTACCAAGAATTTATATATCCATGATATAGTTTATTTTTAATAATACGCATATCTACAAAAAAAAACATAATAATAAGTCACTGAAATTTAAATTATAATTAAAATTATTTGTTCACTGATTCCCAATTTCCTTTTAGTGCAAACCATTTTGCAATAAAATTCCAAAATCAAGAGAACAAAATCCCCAATTAGCGGAAAACCCCTAAGGGTTAGAAAGAGAACCAGAACACTTTGTTCTAGTCAATGTCAATATTCTTCAATTACACTATATACAAATGAGATTACATCACCCTATTTATAGGCTACACAACTAATAATAGGACACTTGAATCACTAAATGGACATTTACATGCAACTCATTTTTAACACTTGGCACCTTTATTCTACTACATCACCTTTTCTCTGTCACGAGAAACATTGTCAATATGAGAAAGCTCAAAATCAAATTAAACAATCAGAAAATAAAGGATACCATAGTGAGAATTGTAAGATAGATGACTTCATCTCGAAATCTTTTCTTATTTGATTCTCAAACCACTATACAAATTCACAACTGGGAAACACCTGAATGAGACTTTAACATCAAATCACCACCATATATTTTAGTTAATGGGAAGGTGTATGCACACACATTGTCTGTACAGGTTCAACACCCTTGGGCACCTCTTTTGTTTTATAAACAAGTGAAGTGGCATGATGGAATGTATAATGCTGGTAACTTTCACCCATTGGGCACACCAACTAATGACGCTTTAACTTTACTTATAACTACACCCAACAAGAGAGTGGAAAAGCACTCTATAAGGTAATATAGAAAGCCCTGAAACAACTGATTAATTTTGATATTGATAGTTAATTTTGATATTGATAGAAAAGGGGAAGGAAGGGGGGTGGGTGGGTGGGTGTGTTGGGGAACACTTCTTTTATTGTCTGTAATGCAGTCCATCATCATAAGAACAAGATTCAAGTGATGAGAGCACAATGTGCAACACCGATCCTATTCAATCATCATCCATTAGGAATCCATACTTCTTGTGAAAAACAAGGCCATTGAAGTTTTCACATGAAAAAGAAAAATATTGCCTCTTTCGGAAAAATCTATAAATTATGGAACTTCCAGAGAAAGCAATGTCAAGAACCAATAGTTTATCCTCTTAAGGGCTGAATCCAGACATCATGGTTGGACTAGGAAAATTCTACAGATAAGCAAAAATGATATTAGTACATTTCCTTCAAAAAGTATGTCAAGCAACTTATAGCCTACTTGGAGGGGCATAAGTCAATAAAGTGATTGATGATGTTTCTGATTTCATTTATCTAAAATTAACCGTTTTACATTTTATCTTTCTGACGTGAAAATATGCAATTAAAAATTTATGACAATACAAATTAAAGCAATTGGCTTTGGCCAGTTCTATGATGAAAATATAACACCAATGCTCTATTTGGTTGACTGGAATGAGATGAAATGAAATGGAATAGTCATTCCTTAAGCTCCCCTATGGAATAATCATTCCCTTACAATTGTGAGTAATGCTTCATTAGCAATGTATTTTTCAATTATTTTTTTATTCAACCAAACATGGGAATGGACATTTTGATGGAATGATCATTTCATTCCAATCCATTCTAGTGAACCAAACACTACCCAAAGGTACTACTAACATGCATTCCATCTAAATTTTTGAGCAACAAGAGCATTTCTCTAACATGATGCAGTATAGAATAATAAGGAGATCATTACTCACCATCTTATTAAGCAATCCAGAATTTTCTACTAACACGTCAGGAAAGTACTTTTTCACAGCTACCTCAAACTTAAAGTAACATCGTCCTGGTATGCCATACCATACTTTTGGAGCACCCAAATGCATGTAACACAGTGAATACAAGTGATGCTCTTCAACTTTCTGTTTCTCAAAAGTAAACAATTAAATCAGATCAATGATCAATCTATATCCAAGCAGCTGGATGAACTAACATGTTCTGCTTAACCAGATACTGAAAGAAAGAGTTTAAATATGATTAAATTGGATTGACAAGAGCAGAAAGAATCAAACAAAAAAGTTAATTCATTCATGGGCATTGAAAAACTTTACAATCTCACCCAAAGAAGAGATGAAAAACACATTCCTACAAAGAGCCGAGGTAGCGAAATGCTAGAAGTCTTGTTGCTCTCAAAAACAAGAAGAGAACCAGGCAACTTAGAAATATTATTCAAGTTCCAACCAGATTCTTCATATTCAGGATACTTAAATGTCTCTGCTGAATCTGATACTACTGTAAACCCACTTCTAAGAACTTTAGATTCCAGATTAAGACCAAGTAGCACCTAAAATATCACAACAGAATGATAAGGTAAGCTGGTAAATAAAAACTAGTTAACAAAATGGTCACTCGATGGGCTAGTTATGCTTTCTCCAACAAACCTCTATCTCTTCAGTTGGATTCTCAACAATCGGTCTGTATTCACCCTCAATATTTTCCACTGAAGGCTCCCAGTGGTTTTCAAACACGGAGGAATTATCATCTGACACTATAACCCTGCCCTCCATGCAAAAATCATGCCTTTTGAAATCATCTGCATATTTCTTAAAAGTTTCTAATGAGAACTCTTCACCAGGTTTGAACTCAAAGCCTTCATTATAATGCCCAGTTTTATCAGGGTCTGAGACAAATACTTCATCTGATCCACATTCCAAGCTCATTCCCAAAGTTCTTCTCCTTTTTCCCTTCATCTTCTCATGATTTCCCTGAAGTTTTCTCTCTAAATACAAATGTTGTAACTCATTAATCCGTTGACTATAAGTAGTGAACTTGGAACATTCCCATATGTTCTTTTCCTTAAGAAGGCACGGTGGTTGCCATGAATGAGGAGGAACAATACGAAAAATTCCGTAGGACCCTGCTTGTGGTCGTATGCTTGCAACATACTTAAGTGTGTCTTTGAATTCCTGCAAGAAGATTCAAAACTCATAAAGACAGACAAATATTTCATATCTGGCAAGCAAAGCACCAAGCTGAACAAAATATAATGTCAACAAAAAGTCGAGGCAAAAAAATGAAATGCATAAACTAATTTTTTGAAGTTGTAAAGAAACACCTCTTCAGATGGGTGGAAAACAGGAGCATCTTCAAATACAGTCATGCATGCCTCTAGAAGATATAATTGTTGTAGAATAAGGGCTGGAAACAAATCAAACTGTTCATAGCTCAAGGTCAATTCGTTTGAAGTTCGTTTGAATTCTGCTCCTTTGCATTCCTATGTGAAACAGAATTTCAAAATCTTAACTGACAATGTCATATTAAAGTAAAGAGCTACAAAAATAAAAACATTGTAAGAATTTATGTATTATTGATTGATGTCTTGATTGATAGATTACAAGATGCATTAATTACAATTCCTATACAATCTATATATAGAAGAAAATGTGGTAGTAGGTGTAGTGGAGGTGATAGTGGGTTAGGTGAAGTGGAGTGTGTAGTGGAGTAGAGGTAGGTGAAGTGGAGTGTGTAGTGGAGTAGGTGAAGGTAAAGATGGGAAATTCTAACAAACATGTAAATGCACTTACCTCTTTTTCATAGCAAGGTTCTCCACCCTGCATGTTTTATGAAGCATATTTGTCAGGTAGAGGATAGATACAAATTACAATACTGTCAAAAGTGTTGCTGCCATTCCTGTTTCATTAGTGAAATTTCACTATTTCCATACAACTTTGTTATTTTTACTGTATAAACCTTTATTGAGATTTATAGATTTTGACAAGGGGATTAGGCATGATTATCACAGTTATCAATAGTGATTCTAAAATTCAACTGATCTCATATCTATTCTTTGCTAAACTTGAGGACAGTTTCAAATGTTTTCGTTTATATGCAATCATTCTATTAAAATAAAAGACGGGTGTAAAAGGTAGGTAACAGAATCATACCTCTAAAGGTACAATCTTCAAATCAAGGAATTCAACGTCAATTATGAATTTCCCCGTTAATGGAACCTCAATTGCCCAAACAAAATCGTCGTTATTCTTGAGCTTCTTGTCTGTAATTTCTGCATTGACACAAGATGACACCAGTTAAACAGCATTGACGAAAGAAAATTTATCAACAATAGACCTGATGAAATTCTCATCCTGAATTTGTTCTATCAACAGGTGTTCTAATGCTAATCTGCAAAATTCTATACCTAGATTTAACACAATTAAGACTTTAAGAGCATCAATTACAAACAAAACATGCACAATTGGGTGTTGTAAGCACTAAGAAATTAGTACAAAGTCCTTAAAGAATCTAAAGAACAAGAAATTAAGAAACATCTAATTGTAATTTATTACCTGGGTGAATCAAAGACTTGCGATCTCCCACGAAGCAGACCACTCGAATGATAAACGATGCAATTGGAGGACTGTCTTTAGTTAAATTCGATATTTCTGGGTATAGTTTAATGAGCAACGTTCGATTCTTCTCCACAGCTAAATGCCTTCAATTCAAATAACCAATTGAATAATAAAAAAAAAAAACCCCCACTCTGACCTTTGAAGACAGCATAAAAAAACTAAAAATAACAACTGCAAATCAAACAATTTTTTTTTTTAAAAAAAAAGGAAAAAAAAAAGCAGAGTTTTTCCAGGAAGAAGGAAAAAGGGATAATTTTCTTGTTAATATTATGTTTTCTTCCCGAGAAAATTCAATAGAAATGAAGAAATTAAAATTCGTAATCTCTGGATTTTCATAACCTGGGATCATATGAAACTTAAGTCATCTTAGCTGAGCCAAAAAACTAAAAAGACTACTAAAAATTTCTGGGTATTTTAGTTTTTTTTTTACCCCACTAATCACAACACAACAACCAAAACAGAGCTGAAATTCAGAAGCTGATCACAAATCAAATTCATGGAGGTCTATTCATTTGCAATGAACAAGAAATAGTGGAATGACGGAAGAGAATGTTACCTGGATAGAACAAAGATATAATTGTTGTAGAAAAAAAATCCTAAGAGTTCAATGTGTTAATCCATATTGGGTCTAGAAGATATAATTGTTGTAGAAAAAAAATCCTAAGAGTTCAATGTGTTAATCCATATTGGGTCTAGAAGATATAATTGTTGTAGAAAAAAAATCCTAAGAGTTCAATGTGTTAATCCATATTGGGTCTAGAAGATATAATTGTTGTAGAAAAAAAATCCTAAGAGTTCAATGTGTTAATCCATATTGGGTCTAGAAGATATAATTGTTGTAGAAAAAAAATCCTAAGAGTTCAATGTGTTAATCCATATTGGGTCTAGAAGATATAATTGTTGTAGAAAAAAAATCCTAAGAGTTCAATGTGTTAATCCATATTGGGTCTAGAAGATATAATTGTTGTAGAATAAGGGCTGGAAACAAATCAAACTGTTCATAGCTCAAGGTCAATTCGTTTGAAGTTCGTTTGAATTCTGCTCCTTTGCATTCCTATGTGAAACAGAATTTCAAAATCTTAACTGACAATGTCATATTAAAGTAAAGAGCTACAAAAAATAAAAACATGTAAATGCACTTACCCTCTTTTTCATAGCAAGGTTCTCCACCCTGCATGTTTTATGAAGCATATTTGTCAGGTAGAGGATAGATACAAATTACAATACTGTCAAAAGTGTTGCTGCCATTCCTGTTTCATTAGTGAAATTTCACTATTTCCATACAACTTTGTTATTTTTACTGTATAAACCTTTATTGAGATTTATAGATTTTGACAAGGGGATTAGGCATGATTATCACAGTTATCAATAGTGATTCTAAAATTCAACTGATCTCATATCTATTCTTTGCTAAACTTGAGGACAGTTTCAAATGTTTTCGTTTATATGCAATCATTCTATTAAAATAAAGACGGGTGTAAAAGGTAGGTAACAGAATCATACCTCTAAAGGTACAATCTTCAAATCAAGGAATTCAACGTCAATTATGAATTTCCTCGTTAATGGAACCTCAATTGCCCAAACAAAATCGTCGTTATTCTTGAGCTTCTTGTCTGTAATTTCTGCATTGACACAAGATGACACCAGTTAAACAGCATTGACGAAAGAAAAATTATCAACAATAGACCTGATGAAATTCTCAACCTGAATTTGTTCTATCAACAGGTGTTCTAATGCTAATCTGCAAAATTCTATACCTAGATTTAACACAATTAAGACTTTAAGAGCATCAATTACAAACAAAGCATGCACAATTGGGTGTTGTAAGCACTAAGAAATTAGTACAAAGTCCATAAAGAATCTAAAGAACAAGAAATTAAGAAACATCTAATTGTAATTTATTACCTGGGTGAATCAAAGACTTGCGATCTCCCATGGAGCAGACCACTCGAATGATAAACGATGCAATTGGAGGACTGTCTCTGGTTAAATTCGATATTTCTGGGTATAGTTTAATGAGCAACGTTCGATTCTTCTCCACAGCTAAATGCCTTCAATTCAAATAACCAATTGAATAAAAAAAAAAAAAACCCACTCTGCCCTCTGAAGACAGCATAAAAAAACATAAAATAACAACTGCAAATCAAACACAATTTTTTTTTTTAAAAAAAAAAGCAGAGTTTTCCCAGGAAGAAGGAAAAAGGGATGATTTTCTTGTTAATATTATGTTTTCTTCCCGAGAAAATTCAACAGAAATGAAGAAATTAAAATTCGTAATCTCTGGATTTTCATAACCTGGGATCATATGAAACTTAAGTCATCTCAGTTGAGCCAAAAAACTAAAAAGACTACTAAAAATTTCTGGGTATTTTAGTTTTTTTTTTTACCCCATTGATCACAACACAACAACCAATTAACATATGATTCACAATCTATATTGACATATTCTACTCTTCTCCATTTTCTGAGCAACCAAACAAAACAGAGCTAAAATTCAGAAGCTGATCACAAATCAAATTCATGGAGGTCTATTCATTTGCTATGAACAGGAAATAGTGGAATGACGGAAGAGAATGTTACCTGGATAGAACAGAGAGAGAGAGAGAGAGAGAGAGAGAGACTGCGAGCTGTGAAATGGCGAACGGCTAGGGTTCGTTTGCCCTTTCGGCTGCTCCTCCGCCACTCGCCGTCGATCGAGAGAGAGGGGGGGTAAGAAGAGATTAGGGATTTTTGGGTTTGAGATTGGGGATTTGGGGGGGGCGGGGTAGGGATTTTTGGGTTTGGGGTTTGAGATTGGAGATTTGTGGGGACGGGAATGGCAAAAAAAAGGGGCGGGAATAAAAAATAAGAAAATATTTTCTTTTTTAGTCACAAATGAAATTTAAATAACAAAATAATGTCGTTTAATTTTTTTTTTTTTTTTTTTTGTGACGGGGTTTGTCGTCGTTAAAAAAAATTATTTTTTATTAAAATATTATTTTTTTTGTAGTTAATGAATTTTTTTAAAAAAAAATTCTTTATTTTTTAGTTGTTAAGATTGAAAATTTATTTGTTTCATTTTTATTTTAATGAAAAAAATATTATTATTTTTTATTTGGTAGAAATAGGGGTAAAATTTTTTTTTTTTTTTTTGTCAGAAATGAAATTTAAATAACAAAATAATGTCGTTAACTTCTTTTTTTTTTTTTTTTTTGCGACGGGGGGTGCCGTCGCAAAAAAAAATTATTTTTTGTTAAAATATATATTTTTTGTAGTTAATGAATTTTTTTAAAAAAAATTCTTTTTTTTTAGTTACTAAGATTGAAAATTTATTTGTTTCATTTTTATTTTAATGAAAAAAATATTATTATTTTTTATTTGGTAGAAGTATGGGTAATATTTTAATGAAAAATATTTTTCACTAAAATAAAAGTTAATTTTCTGTGGTCAATGAAAAATATTTTTCTACGGCCCATTTTTTTTTTGTTATTAAAAATCATGAACTAATTTTTTGTGGTAGAGGAAAGGGAGTGGCAGTAGTGGTGAAGGTGGTGGATAAGAGATGGTGGTGGTGGTGGTAGCGACGAAGGAGATTAGTGGTGAAGTTGTGGTAGTGGTAGAGTAGATGAAGTGGCAAGGGTGAAAGAGAGGTAATGATAGTAGTAGTGGCAGTAGTGGTGAAGGTGGTGGATAAGAGATGATGGTGGTGGTGGTGGTAGCAGCGAAGGAGATTAGTGGTGAAGTTGTAGTAGTGGTAGAGTAGATGAAGTGGCAAGGGTGAAGGAGAGATAATGGTAGCAGTAGTGGTAGTGGTGGCAATGGTAGTAATAATGACAGTCGTAGAGGTGAAGTGGCGACAGTGGTAGTAATGGTGGTAGTGGAATGGTGTTTGCAGTAATGGTGAAGATGGTAAAGGAGATGGGTGGTGAGAAAGAGAGAGATGAGTGAGAGACAGATAGAGGAGAGAAAGAGAGAGAGACAAAGACAGAGTGATGAGCGAGAAAGAGACAAAGTGGTCGCTAAAAGTGCATTTTCTTGTGGTGAATAGATAAATCGAGAGGGAGCTCAGTAAATAGAGAAGACAGAAGGGAGAGAGTGAGCAACGCGAACACAGTAGGAGAGAGAGAGAGAGAGAAAGAGAAGAGGGACAAAAAGATAAAGAGATAGAGAGTGAGAGATAGAAAAAGAGAGAAGAGAGATAAACGAGAGAGACAGAGAGAGAGATAGAGAGAAGAGAGATAAACAAGAGAGATAGAGAGAAGAGCTATGAGCGAGAGAGACATAAAGAGAAGAGATAGATGAGTGAGAGACACAGAGAGAGAGAGACAGATAGACAGAAAGAAAAGAGTGATGAGTGAGAGAGAGAAAGAGAAGAGAGAGAGGAAGATGAAAAAATAGGTGAAAAGATATAGACAAAGAGAGAGAGAGAAAAAAAAGAGCGAAAAGAGATAAACGAGAGAGAGAGAGAGAAAGAGATGAGCGAGAGAGATAAAGAGAAGAGAGAGAGAGAGAGAGAAGAGAGATGAGAGAGATAGACAGAAGAGAGATGGACGAGAGACACAGAGAGAAAGAGAGACAGACAGACAGACAGACAGAGAAGAGTGATGAATGAGAGAGAGAGAAGAGAAACAGAGACAGAGAGATAGGAAGATGAAAAAATGGGTGAAAAAGTTTCGTGTCTAAAGCCTCTTTTTCTAGTAGTGAGTCGTCTCTATCATTCATAGGTAGAATAGAGGCGCGGATTTGGGAATTGTATATTTTATATAAAAATCAAATTGAAATATTTTATACAATCACACCTATTTAGGGAGTGTGATTAAAAAGTAGTAATGTATATATAATCACACTTTAATTAAAATGTGTGATTAAAAAATATATATATAATCACACTTATTTAAAAAGTGTGATTAAAAAGTAGTAGTGTATATATAATCACACTTTAATTAGAAGGTGTGATTAAAAATATATATATATATAATCACACTTAATTGAAAAGTGACATAAAAAATAAATATTATCACACTCAATCAAATTAAGTGTGATTAAAATATCAATCTAATTTTTTTATCACACTTCCAATAAAAGTGAGATTTTTTTTTTGTCAAAGTGTGATCTTTAACTATTTTTGTAGTAGTGAATTAATAGGTCCGGTTATTTTATTGTTATATAGGAGAGTAATTAGGATTTTTTTTTTTGGGTTAAGTTCGGTAATTTGTTACACACCTAATGATATAGAACCAACTCCCTTGTCACATTGTTGGAAAATGTTTGAGACTTTCAAAAGCTCACACAATTTGATCTACAATTATGTGGTATGATATATATAATTTTTTGATTTGTTATACACCCAATAATGTATACCCCAATTCTATTACCATATCATTGTGGGTGACTTTAGGAGTCTTTAGCATTTATTCCGAATTTTGTAAAAAAAAAAAGAAAAAATTGAAAAATACTTAATCCACCCCTAATAATGTGGAATAGGCCTCACTCCTCACTTCTCATCCTTCCTCACTTTATCTCTCTATATTTTGTCTCTCTTCTACCTCATTAGAGGTCAAAATATGGATGATATATTAACACCACTAAAAAAAATTCATGGTATGTAACTTTTCTTAATAGATAAATATAAAACAAATACAAGATAATTCACTGAGCTAATAAAGAAACAAAAGCAATGTGAACAAAAGTCAAATATGAAACAAATAAAACATTCAAAGCAAAAGGATTTTAGTATGACCAAAAAATAAGACTTCGCTAGTTTAAAATTTTTAAATGACAATTTGAAAATAAAAAATTTTAAATTTGAACTTATATTCAATGCGTAATTTTTTAACAACAAACTTTTCAATTTAATAAATGTATCATTTAGTTTTTAGTCTTTAATTTTAAGCATTCTGCATTCAATTTTCAATTTTATATAACATTTAATCATGTTTGTGTGTTTTTTTTATTTTGTCAAAAATTCAACCATACTAAAGTTAAAAAAGAAATTATTTGAAATATAATAAAATCAATTTTAAAAATAAAATGTCACATTCAACAATTAAAACAAGTTAAATGAACAAAATTTGAATAAATTTTGAAATGCGTAAAAGTTTTCAAACTAAACTTGAATAGTTAAATAAACAAAGTTTGAATAAATTTTGAAATTCACAAAAGTTTTCAAACCAAATTTGAATAGTTAAAATGCTAGTAAATGTTACAAGGGTAAATTACACTGACGCCCTGAGGTTTCTATTTAATACAGATTCTCCCTTCATATTTGAAAAATTACATTCCCCTCCCTGAGGTTTGTAATCTCATTACAAATTGTCCTTGGATTGCTAATGTCATACTCTGAAATTTTCTAAATGACCATTTTGCCATTTTTCCGACCATTTCTTCTTCCTATCATCATGACTACATTCTATAACTTTCCATCATTAAATTCTACCTGAACATATTCTTATTGAGTGATGATATATAAACATAAATTTTATATAAAATTTTAAAACACAATGATATAACTTAATGGTAACCTTTTACTTTAAAACAAAACACTCATAAACATTATTTATATTTACAACATTACTATCACAACATTTTTGTGATATTTTTTTTTTGTATAAATTTTTATATATGAATAGAATTTTTCATTTTTATATCCACAATTAATTTTCTTTCTTGTCTATTCATCCATATTTATTACAGTATTACCAAATACCATCATTCATACCATAAAAAATTTAACAAGGAGGAAATATTATAAGACACAAACAAGGAGGTGAAGAAGAGAAGATATAGAGAGCAAGAAGTTTCATACCTTATAAAGTGGCAATTAACACCCTACAACCAAGGTTGTTAAGATCGCAATCCGAATCGTAAGATCGTACGATCCTATGACCCAATATACAGCATTCGATCCAACTCGCACTTTGGATCGACTCCATGTCAAGATCGTGGTGGGATCGTACTAGGGTCGTTGGGATCGGTGGGATCGTTTCTGGATCGCGACTCTGTGCGATCCAAATTTGAAGCTATTTTTCGCAACTTAAAAGCAAAATCGGGAGTAAACAGACAGCGAAACAGAGAAGCAAAGCAAGTAGAGAAGCATACCTTGCGATTAGGGCAAATTTCAACGGCAAATTTTTTAATTTGAAGCCACAATCAACCAGGTACGCTTCTTCCTTCTTCTTCGAATCTTCTCTCTCTCTCTTCGTTGCTTTCTTTGCTGTTTCTTCCTCTCTTCACTACTCTTTTTGCTGTTCTTCTGCCTCTCTCTTCGAATCTTCTCTTCCTCTCTTTCTTCGTTGCTCAGTTCTCTTTCTTTCTCTTCACTGAGCTGCTTCCCTTCTTTTTTTGAGCTGCTCTCATTTTGTGGTTCAAATCAAACTCTTTTTTTCTTTTTTTCTTTTTTTTTTGTAAAATATATATTAGTGTATATTGTATATATTTATTGTTCCTTTTTCTTTTTTTTTTCTCATTTTGTTCTCGTTATATATATGTTTATGTTTATGTTTATGTTTATGTTTTTTGTTTTCTTTTTTTTCTGTCTTTTTTTTTTTGTTGTTCTCATTTTGTTCTCTTTTTTCTGTAAAAATAATCAAACTCTTTGCTGTTTTTTGTTCTCTTTTTTTTTTTTTTTTTTTTTTTGTTCTCTATATATTAATTGTTCTCATTTTTTTCTGTAAAATATATATTTTGTTCTCTTTAAAATATATATCAGGACACCAACTTATACACTTGTGTATTCAACTCTCTTCCTTTATTCAACTCTCTTCCTTTATGCTCCTCCAGTCTCCTATTTATGCACTTGTGTATTCAACTCTCTTCCTTCATGCACTGCTGTTCTTCTTTATTTATTGTTCCTTAATCTTTTAATTTTCACAATTTGCATTGTTGCACACAATGGCAGCCTCTAGTTCAGAAAGACGAAGGAAGAGGAAAAATGCTGCTGGTCACAGATAATTTCGGCGACCATTATGACTTTATTTAGTCTTTTATTTGTTCTTCCTTTATTTAGTTTGACTTGTTTTCATTAAAAAACAATGACAATGGTGTGTAAGTGTTGGTATTTGTTTTTATTACGTTTTTCACTTCTTTTTTTGGAAAAATATGTTTGAATGGTACCTTGAATTGCTATATTTCTTTTTTTGGGACTTATTCTATATATATATTGATAGTATTACTTAGTCATATAAAAATTATTGCATTTTTTTATCATTTTAGTAGGATCTTACGATCCTACGATCCGATCGGACAGATCTCCAAAAACGATCCTATATAGGATCTCGATCTTAACAACCTTGCCTGTAACTGAGATCTCTCTTTGTTCCTCTCATGTAAATCTGCTCATGCTCTGTAATTTTCATTTTCCATGTGAGACAAATGAATCAAAGCAATGATAAAAAGAAAGCATGAAAATGGACATAAAAAGGTGAGTAAGTACCCTAAAAATTAGCAAATACAAAAAGTGTTTGAGCTATCAATACAAAAATTAATAAGATCAACATTTACAAACATAAGCATGTCAACGGGCAATAAAGATACACAATATGCGTGCACACAAACACATATATATAGTTGAGAATGAAACATAAACTGACTTCTTGGTAGGTTTGCAGATGGCTTTGGTGGCAATGGAGTTGTGGACTTTCTGGTCCTCTTCCTCTTCGATGGAGTCGACAGTTAATCTGACGCATCAATATCTGGAAGAAATAAAAGGAGAACAAAGTTTAAGATGTATGATAACAGAATGTATCTTAGAGAATTTCCACATGAATTGTCTGCAACTATAAGGGATTAATTTCAACATTTTTTACAATGTGCACTTTTGCATATTTATTGCACCGTTACAAAGCGAATAAAGCACATAAATACATTGCCTTGGGAATAAATTTTTTAAAATGGATTAGCCAAGCTTGATAAACTCAATTTAAATTTTGTCAAAATAATTTCAAATGTCAGCATGTATATAGCCTTACAGATTAAAAATTCAGTGAAAACTTTAAATTCATATGAATATTTGTCAATGAATAGGACAAAATAAAGATGATATAATAATCTTAATACTTCCACAAACTTAAATAAACTACTGTAAATGGCCTTAGCCAAAAACAGACGGAAAGAAACGTAGTCATATAGCTCAAATCCTAGAACAGAACTACCTGAAAGAAAGAACACAAGTTGTCTTGCACTCGCTTCCACTTGACTGAGCTTCAGCAAAATAGAGTAACAAGAACACCAACACAAACAACTACCTTGAGGCTTTTTTAAAGTACCAAAAAAAAGCAGCCAGATGAATAAGCTATACTACAACCATAGCCATAGGCTCCAAACTCCACCTGCTTCCACCATATAACCAAAGAATCATAATAAGTTATACATCCAACTTTCTTAAATAGTCTAAGAGAATGTAAAAAAAGACCAACAAATTTCACTAATTGAATTCACATTTAAGGACATCTGACTACCAGTTTCGCAATCACACGTGGCTATAATTTTCTGATACATCTCATGATGCAACTTTGAAGGGTGGTAAAATTAAACACAAAGAAAATTACCATAACCTTAATAAACTAACTGTTGTGGTCCAAATTTGAACCTTTCAAACCTTCAGATGGAAAGGATTATTGAAAATTATTAGTTGCATGTGCTGAATTCCAGCAATAGAAACGAAAATCATAAATAAATTAATTAATTAAAAAAAAAAAACACACACACACACACACACAATTGAAAATAAGACAGGGTACATGTTAAATCCACAAACTAAACCCTTAAAGCATAAAAAATAATTAATTAATTAATTACCTCAATGCAAAGAAAACTGGCTTTGGTGGTAACGAATTCTGGGACTTTCTTTTCCTCTCCCTCATAGTCGAGAAGCTCTTCATTTTTGTTTCGCGTAATAGACGGATCAAAAAAAGTAAATTTAAGTGTTTCATTAGGGTTTCAAATTCAAACAAAGCATGAAGCCCAAAGTTTTGAGAAAAAGGTTGTTCGCCTTTGAATTTGTAAGAAGATTGGGTGGAATTAGGGTTAAGCTTTGAAGGGTCTGGTTATCCCATTCCTTCTCGCTTCCATGCTTTGTTTGACAATACATCTACCTGTGATGTGAGATGGGAAGAGATAGATGAAATAGCTGAGAGATTTGGGATGAGCTCGCCTAGCAAGAAAGGCCCAGCGAGATTTGGGATTTGATCAATTAGCATGAGAAATGGAAGAGATTATGAGAGGAAGATGAGAACAAAGAATGGGTTTGAAAGAGAAGCATGGGAACAGAGTCAGCCGACATTGGAAGTTTCTTGGAAGTAGACGTGTGATAGACGTAGGATTTGTCAATGAATACATCCTAACCATCCAAATAAATTACTTGTATCTCATAGACAATTGTGATATTTGACTTTTAAATTCTTCCACAATTTACATGGACAACTCATGTCCACACAATAATCAAAGAACAATGCTTTCACTACGGATATGAATTTACCAAACAATCCAACACCTCATAAAACAAAGTGGAGTGTTATAGAGAAAACTCAGGGGGCAAAACCGGGAAAAAAAATGAGAGCCATGGTTTACTGTAGCACTATCAACTCCCTCTTATTATATAAGTGTATAGAGATATATTTTTTGAGTTTTATTATTGGTTAGATAAGAAAATAAATGGATAAAATATTGCACATCCAGTAAGAAGAATTGGTGTAAATTACAAGGATGCAGATGTATAAAAAACTCACAGGCACCAATCAGCTTCTTAACAGATAGATGGTTTCCCACTTCATTGAAATCAACCATGCAACAACTTAGTTGATGGGAATACTACATACATAGAATGTCAATAAATATCAACAGAATGATATGGAAATACTACAGTATATGAATTGTTTAGAAGAAAAGGAACATTCGTAAATTCATTAGATTATATGAATTGAAATTTATTCTCTGTTCTTACCTGCAGAGAGAGAAATCAAATTTCTAAATACATAGACTTGATTCTTATTATGTTACTTGTTTTCATTTTTCTTTATCTTTTTCTAATATTTTTCCTTGTAATGTTGAAGTTGTTCAAAGATGCAGTTTGTATAGCCTTGCAACTCCAGATCACCATAATGGCTATAGATAATCTACTTGGGTTAATTCAAAGCATTTTTCAAGCTCCAATATTTCGATCTGATCTTGAAGAGACTCCCAGGAATAGAACTTAGAAACTACCAATCATAAAGATGTATGAACAAATGCTAACAATAGACTAGCATACAAGAGTCTTATTGTTCCAGATGAATGCACAGTAAGGACAAGGAGAAAGCCAAAATGAACATAGAACAAATTCACAAGATATCCATTAAACAATAATAAAACAAGACTCGTACTATAGTTTTGTTAAAAAAACCTACCAAAACCAACCACTACACCTACTCCACCCACTTCACCTACTACCAAAACCTACCACTACACCTACTCCACCCACTTCACCTACTCCACCTACTACTCCACCTTCTACATACCTACCTCCTCTAATCTTCTATATATAGGACTCATTGTAAACATAAATATATAATCAATTAATAATACAATTCTCTATTTCTCTTTATACATTAAATTTCTTCATGGTATCAGAGCCATAAGATTTAGGCCCGTATTTTGTTTTCTCACCGGCGGGCAGCCGGCCGGCAACCTTGCCTTCGCTGCCCGCTGGAATTTTGTACACATACCTTCACTTTCCTGCATCTTCCAACTTTCTTACAACTGTTGTCCCATAGCTGGGCTTCATATCTATCAGTCCATCTATGCCTTGTGACACCTCTATACTGTGAAGTCCTCTGTCCAAATGTATCAATGGACTTCCTATGGCCAACCTGCTTCTGATCAAGCTTCTCAGCCCTCTTTTCTTCCCCTCCTTGAATGGTGTTTGGTACACCTCATGGCCTCTAAATGCATAGTAATCTGAGTATTGCTGGGCTTGAATCTGCTGTTGTTGACTATTGTTGGTCTCATGATCTGGGTTGTGGTGGTAGTACATGCTCTCTTCTTACATGAGAAGGCGCGTCTCTATGCCTTGTGACACCTCTATACTGTGAAGTCCTCTGTCCAAATGTATCAATGGACTTCCTATGGCCAACCTGCTTCTGATCAAGCTTCTCAGCCCTCTTTTCTTCCCCTCCTTGAATGGTGTTTGGTACACCTCATGGCCTCTATATGCATAGTAATCTGAGTATTGCTGGGCTTGAATCTGCTGTTGTTGACTATTGTTGGTCTCATGATCTGGGTTGTGGTGGTAGTACATGCTCTCTTCTTACATGAGAAGGTGCGTCACTGTCGGAATACGGGCTGCCGCCTCTGGCCCCTTAAGCTTCCGCTGCTTCCGCCCTACTCTTGCTGGCGGCGCCGCACCTGCGCTGAAGGTTGCCCAATTTAGGCGGAAAGTTTGCTCGGTATTTGGCATTGTAGTACCATTGAAGCTCTGCAGAACTTTCTCAGCTGCTGCGTGAGAAAGGAACTCAATAAACCCATATCCCTCTGACTGACTAGTCTGCTTACTGCGAATAACCTTGACAGAGTTAACCTCGCCAGTGTGAGCAAAGCAGGTGTTGATGTAACCTTCGTCCATCCATTGTTGAAGATCCCCAATCCAGATCGTCCTATTCTCATCACTCGAACCTTGAATCTGCTGTTGTTGCTGTTGATGATGTATCTGTTGTTGCTGTTGAATCTGCTGCTGCTGCATCCACAGCTGCTGTTGCTGCTGTTGATTCAGATCAGCACCGTTGGTTGTCGATGGCATCATCTTCACAGCCTCAATCTCTCTCCTCGAAATCACAGTGAATTGAAATTCGGCAACAAATGGTAGAGAGAGAGTGTGGTTGGGGAGAGAGAGTGGTAGTGGTACTGTTTTTGTGCGAAGGGACAGAAATCATCACATTTCTCACTTTTTTCTTTTATTTTGTCCTCCACTTTACACCTCACATGCCTTCTCTCTGTCTAAACAATAATTTTCCACCACCCAACTTTCTTTTAATTTTATTTTCTTTTCTTTTATTTTATCACCCACTCACTTCTTATGATGAAAACACAATGGACCCAACTTCATGCCAGCCACATGGGCCTGTCCCTCCGCCAATGCTCTCATCCTTTTCCTTTTTCATATATATATTTATTTCGCCAACCAATACCACTTTTTTTTTAATTCCTTAATTTATTTTAATAACATGAGTGGCCTTCCTTTTTCCACCCTCTCCCTCTACACAATATTTTTGTACCACCGCCCACTCCATGATACCCATATTAATATCATTATTATTATTATTATTATTTTCACAAAAAAAAAAATAATAATAATAATAATAAAAATAAAAATAAAAATAAAAATAAAAATAAAAATAAAAATAAAAATAAAAATAAAAATAAAAATAAAAATAAAAATAAAAATAAAAATAAAAATAAAAATAAAAATAAAAATAAAAATAAAAATAAAAATAAAAATAAAAATAAAAATAAAAATAAAAATAAAAATAAAAATAAAAATAAAAATAAAAATAAAAATAAAAATAAAAATAAAAATAAAAATAAAAATAAAAATAAAAATAAAAATAAAAATAAAAATAAAAATAAAAATAAAAATAAAAATAAAAATAAAAATAAAAATAAAAATAAAAATAAAAATAAAAATAAAAATAAAAATAAAAATAAAAATAAAAATAAAAATAAAAATAAAAATAAAAATAAAAATAAAAATAAAAATAAAAATAAAAATAAAAATAAAAATAAAAATAAAAATAAAAATAAAAATAAAAATAAAAATAAAAATAAAAATAAAAATAAAAATAAAAATAAAAATAAAAATAAAAATAAAAATAAAAATAAAAATAAAAATAAAAATAAAAATAAAAATAAAAATAAAAATAAAAATAAAAATAAAAATAAAAATAAAAATAAAAATAAAAATAAAAATAAAAATAAAAATAAAAATAAAAATAAAAATAAAAATAAAAATAAAAATAAAAATAAAAATAAAAATAAAAATAAAAATAAAAATAAAAATAAAAATAAAAATAAAAATAAAAATAAAAATAAAAATAAAAATAAAAATAAAAATAAAAATAAAAATAAAAATAAAAATAAAAATAAAAATAAAAATAAAAATAAAAATAAAAATAAAAATAAAAATAAAAATAAAAATAAAAATAAAAATAAAAATAAAAATAAAAATAAAAATAAAAATAAAAATAAAAATAAAAATAAAAATGATGGCACGCCTTTTGAAAGATTGGGCACACCTTTTGAGGGTGCGACTTTTTAGGGGTCCGACAAGACTCTGTAAACTGTCCCGACATTGATTCCGATTAGCTTGTACATCGGTCCGGTGTGACCTCGTCACCTGTTCAGACTTTATCTGCTACAACGGTATGACACCACCATACAGTGTCCTCTACAACGTTATGACACCACCATACAGTGTCCTCTACCACGTTATGACACCACCATATAGTGTCTTCACCAACGGTCTGACACGACCATACAGTGTCTCCTATCCTCCTTTATTTTATGTATTTTCTTGTTTTGTTACTCTCTCCAAACTCAAGTTGGTTAGTTCCTATCCCCCTTGAGTTTGCGGGGGGCTGTTAAAAAAACCTACCAAAACCAACCACTACACCTACTCCACCCACTTCACCTACTACCAAAACCTACCACTACACCTACTCCACCCACTTCACCTACTCCAGCTACTACTCCACCTACTACATACCTACCTCCTCTAATCTTCTATATATAGGACTCATTGTAAACATAAATATATAATCAATTAATAATACAATTCTCTATTTCTCTTTATACATTAAACAATAATAAAACAAGACTCGTACTATAGTTTCAAATATATATCTATGTACACATGCATATAGATTTAGGAATTCAAACAAATAGATGAAACAAAGCTTTTCCGAGTTTGTGATGGATGGCTTCGGCTGATAAATTGAGTGAGACATTCAGGGCATATTTGTCTTCTCAAAATTTATTGAATTTGATGATAAAAATAAATTTTATATAACATTATGACTACAAGCAAAATAGTTATAAAAAAAAAAAAAAAATGCTTTCTGTTAACACAGCAGTGTCTTAAGTCATTTCAAAAATCACAAGGGCTGAATTTGAAATTGTCAGAAACCTCAAGGGAGGTCAGTGTATGTGTAAATTTACTCAAATAAAAATAAGAATAATTTGATGCTTGTGGTGCTGAAAAAGGCTGCTACCCTTGGGATGTAATGATGAGGAATTAAGCTTAGACACTTGCCTTGTATGAGGAAACAAACAGCAAAGATTAAGCTCCTGCAGTTGCAGGGAATTCAAAAATTCTTTGATTGCACAACGAATTCTTCCCAGTCCAAGATGATACAGCCTTTAAAACTCCATCGAAGATTTGAATAATCTCCATAATCAGCACCTGGGTCCTTTAACAAAGTCTCTGCACCATTATTAGAATGAGGGTGCAAATTAAAACTAGATCGATGAGTCCAAACCTGATCCTTAAGGACCCGTTCACTTTACCTTTTTAGAGCATGCTGATACTCTAGTTGATGAAATCAATTACCGGTACATGACCTTCAATTGGAGCAAAAACATGAATGACCTTCTGATAGTCATCACAATCAACACAAGAATATATAGCGTGCTAATAAATACCAATAGAATAATATAAAAATAATATCGTATTCAAAATAGCTTAGAAGAAAAGGAACAGTTGTCAATTCAACAGGAATTTTCAGGTGCCATTGAATTATGTCAGCACCGAGGTATGTGAGTGGGGTTGCTTAGCGCGGCAGCTGCGATATGAACCTTCAAAAGAGGGGAATCAAAAATTTTGACAAGGTGAGAGAATTATGAGGCATTATGCACAAGATACATAAACGAAAATTATAAATCAACAATAGGCATTCGAACAAGGGGAGAATTGCCTAACCCACTACGGGGAAGAGTATCAACTTCTGAATGGTTTATTCATTGATCTTTTTATTTTTATTTTTATTTTCTTCCATTTAACAATGACAATCTTATCTATGATGTAAAGCCTCTCAAGCTTTGTAGAAATATCATAGAGCACAAAGACCAACCATTATTGTAATTTGCAACCAATTTAGCATACAACAACAGTTATGCCTCTTCCAACACCACATTAAGAGATATTTAATCTTCTACACTACTAAGAAAGAAATCTCCAAAAAAACCACTGGCTGTCATTTGTCCTTGTAGACACAAATTTTAAAACATGAAGTGTTTCAACACATTTCAAAATTTTATGTTACAAATGTCCACTTGATTATTTGAATAGCAGGTTCTTATTTCCGATCTGTATTTCAGATCGTTAATTACACATTTTATACAAATGAAACCTCCGATTAATGAAGAACAAAATAAACAACAAAAGACAATTTAAAAAAATATATATATATATTTTATTGAGATTGTTATGGGTTTTGAACCCTCGAATACAAAATACAGTTTGGGTTTGGAACCCTTTACCAATTCATCGCCATTAGCGTAGGCTCTTGGGTTCTCTAGGCTTTTCTTCTTCTTTTTTGTAACGATTTGTTCAGCTCTCAATTTTTTTCTCTCTCTGATCTTTTCACTTTTGATTTTCTTCATCCCCCGTCTTGTGTGATAGTCCTCATATTTATGGAGGGCCATCGAGTGACAAGAATGCTTCATCTTCAATTTGAATTTCAAATTGAATGATAGCGCCATTTGAATTTTGAATAATAGCGCTATCTGATTAATCGTTTATCTGATTAACCGGATTGATCTTTGGAGTTTCATCTTGTGTGGTGTCCTTGCTATAGGCTCTACAGGTGTCATCTTTCGTAAGCTCCACGTGTCACTTGAGCATCTTGAATAACGTCGTTGAGATACAACGTCGTTTTATTTATGTACTTCAACGGATCATGTTGATCTTTTTCAGGACCTGATTACCTATAACCCTTCTATCATAGGCTCTATACGTGTCATAAATTTAGTCGAAATTTATGTGCCAACAGTCCTAAATTCCTAAAAAATGACCACTTGTACATAATTCAGTGGGGACTGAAAAAGAATCTACTTGAATCTGTAACATGTGAATTAAAATACTGCAAAGAGAGAGAGGTAACAATTAGTCTACAAGAATCTACAACATGTGAAAATAATGTTGCAAAGTCATGTAGCCACAAGTCCAAAATAGTTGATGGAGAAGTATAAGCCCATGTCAATATATAACAAAAAAAAGAAAAAAAAAAAGGAGCTTCACCTAATAATATATATTATAATATGTGTGTAGCTTTGTCTTCACAGCTTAAGCACTTTACTCAATCTCTTGCATTCCATGACTATCCTTGGGCATGAACTTCTTTATCACTTCTTGGAGAGCAGGATCTTGTCCTTTAGTTGAGAGTATATCTATGATCAAGGAAGAATTGGATGCATCTACCGAAAAACCCCTTTGAACCATTTCCTCAACGAGTATTAATGCCTCATAGCACTTGTGTTGTCCAATAAATCCTCGGATAATAGTGTTGTAAGTGACATCATCTGCCAAGCAACAATTTTTTTCCATTTTAACAAACAACTCTTTAGCTTCATGTAGTAGGCCTTCTTCACAAAGACCTTGTATCATCATATTGTATGTCTTAACATTAGGATCTAATCCCTTGGAAGAAAGGTTACTAAAAAGAGCCCTTGAAGTATCAAGCTTTTTATCCTTGAAAAATGCATCAATGAGAATACTGTACATAACAATATTAAGATCTAAACCATTCC